AAAAATAAGTAAGCACTGAACGAGGTTGTTAAATCTGATATATGCTTTTTTGTGCTTCTTTGTTAAATATTTGGTTTTTTTTTTGTTGTGATTAAGATTGTGACACGGTGTTGACTGCTGTACCCCTATTTTGACATTTTACCTATTATGTCTGTTTGTATTATTCACACATCGTTGTCAATAAAATGGAATTTGATGCGACTGTCATACAAGTGAGAGTTTTAGCGCTTTAAAACCAGGTTTAATCCACTATTTTCTACGTAAGAAAATGCATGTACCAAGTCAGGAATATGACAGTTGTTGTCCATTCGTTTGATGTGTTTGTGCTTTTGATTTTGCTATTTGATTAGGGACTTTCTGTTTTGAATTTTCCTCGGAGTTCAGTATTTTTGTGATTTAATTTTCTACTAATGACTTAAAATCTGACCCAATCTATATCATGTCTATTCTACTTGCCTGAGTTTTATCTCTCCTTCGCCACGTAAATTGCTGAACATTTTGATTTAAACATCTCCAGATATCAATTAGTGTGTTTGATTTTAACATTAAATTCAAACTATTTACTGGTTTGGAAATCTGGCTATTTGGTAGGGTTGTTTTTCTATCTATAACGTTAAGATAATCATTGAAATTTTCCCCAACTATCAGTATACCGATACCAAATTCCTTGATATTATTACTTACCATTTTAGAAAACGCATTTCTAGATGCTTAATACTATGGTGCATATACACATACCAATGTGAATATCGTATCATCAATTTGTATACTGAGAATAATTTCTCTCCCTTCAGTGTCACGATTTTTATTAATAACATTAACATTTAAATTACCCCATAATTAAAATAGCGACCCCCTTACTAGCTGTCGTGCCATGACTACAGAAACTATTAAAATCCTTCTGTTTCGACATTTCTTTACTAACATCGTCGAAAAATGTGTTTCTTGCAAAAAAAGCAATGCAACATTTATGAACTTTCAACCATTGAATGACCCTCTCTCTTTTATCTCTATTGTGTATACTATTTACATTGAGACTACATACATAATTAAATTTTTCTGAACCATATTGTGTTATCTAATTTGATTTTCAAACATGTTACGTAAATAAAAATACTACAGTGTAATTTATAGATACTTCTACAACGAAGTATGACTTGTTTTCTTTTCAACATAATAATGACAGAATACTACAATTAAAATATGTTTTGAATTCGTTTGACGAATTACAACTATATTTAACGATATACAAATTCTTGTCTACATGTTTACCTATCCGTGACATTGTAACAGTATTTAACATCATGTGGAAAATTATTTGGCCCACTAGGCACGTGTTTTTGTTGTGTATTTTGAGAAGTATCACGACTAGAAATGTTATTATAAATAATTACCGTAATACTGCCATTATTAATTTGAATAGTAATATATATACACGATATACATGTGTGTTTAAAATTCGTATTTTGTGTTTGTATAAATTTACTAAAAGTGCTTGACCATCAACGTTAAAGTGGATGTTATTAGTGTGTTCTTGCACATGGCATTTTCTTTTTTTTTTATGCACAACACCATGCTTATATTTTCGTCCTTTTAACATTAACATGAAAAATGAACAAACCACTCTGTATGTCTGACCGTAGACATTTTTGCATCGCTTGTTGACATCGGGAAAGAGTGCTCTCAGACACGCCCGCGTTCTAATGTCGTCAAAATTATTTTTGAGTGAACCCCAAAAGCTATCGTTTCCAAGATGAATAGCACGCGCTCGTCGTTAGAAACATACGTTAGAAACTGCGCACTGTTAAAGGGCTGAGCCACATTAAAGGAAACTACTTCACCCTTCAAATTGTAGTAATTTTGAAAACGTGGAATCAAATGGTCAGCCTCATTTGGATTATAGTAAAACGTTGCAAGTGGATTAGCCTTCTGTAGTAACATTAAGCATATCATAAACCTACTGGTTGTAGCACCAAATTTAACGAAATCAGATCGCGCTGACAACCACTACGCCGATTTCAATCAAAAGTCTAAAAATCAAGATATTTATATTGTTTTTATTTCAATTTGCCATATTTTAAAACAGGAATGTTTATACATTCAATTTATATTTCGACAAATATTCTCATTATAAGAAATAGTATTTGATTAAACATGATAAATAAATGCAAGTAATTTAAATATATTTGAGGGAAATGTCGCCGAATGATTTAAGTAGTTCATATAGAGTCTACACCGATGTTCTCAGTTTGAACTCTGTGTGATTTAAATATTGACGGATTGACTGTTTTCTCCAAGTTCTTGGTTTCCCTCCATCAATAGAAACTGTCCATCGTAATATGTTAACATGTATCTTGTTCTAGTGTTACTAAAGCCTGATACACACACTTATTAGTAGAATATTTACCATTCAGTTATTGTATCGGTGTCTTCAGCACTGAGATAATTGAAGTGTATTAATTCAGTTGGTTGATAACATCAACAGCGTTTTAATTTTCGTAACTGATATTTATGAAAATGACATATTCGGTAATAGAGTTTGCTTAAAGGAAATTATTTGTTTATAAACGAATAACAGAAAAAACTCAAAACATCAAACAGTATCACCAACAAAACAAATATAGCCACGCTTATAACGCCTAAACATGAGTTCCAGTGATATGTCGACAAACGACACCTTAAAAATCGTTCGACCTTCTCACTTAGAAATTTTTACTAAAATAACCAGCTTCCCGTATCCAGGTGTTTGTGTTTTATGACAAAAGGATTGATTGTAAGATAATGCGGTCTAAATTATGATGACAGTTGTTTATGATGTTCAAAACTGTTTTACAATCGGGACGGAATCGGTATAATTAGAAATCAAACATCTCTGCTAATAAATAAAGACTTTAAAATGTCGTTAGTGAGTTGAATCATCAATGCATCCTTTCGGTTAACTATTTCGTGTAGTGCCCCTAACATTTCTGAAATGTCTATTTGTTATTCCTCATAAATCTGCTGGAGCAGTTTTTATGTAAGAGGCAAATCACTATTAATGCAGTCATTGTAGTGAACATGCACGAATGTAGCGCATTCAATACATACTTTTTATGTAAACGACATACGACTGGGCAGGTGATATTGACGAGTTTCAATGATCAGATTCATTGGAATATTGCTAAAACATTGCCCGTCTAGTATTGCTAATGTCTTATGGTAACATCTACTATATCTAATATCTAATGTTTTGACACTAATTTCGAAGAAAGTCAGATAGACCTGAAAACTGAAACGCCAGTTGAAACCAAAAGTCTAGGAATAAAGATATTCATATTTATAATTTGAATTCAATTTAAAAGGGAATATGCATGAGTTAAGCATTTATCATGGTAATTATTGTTTGCATCTCAAGAAGCAGTAAATCAATAGATAAAATGAAGGTACATTTGATCAAAAGAGACATAATGTGACCTGATGGTCTAACACATTAAACGTCAGTGCTAGCTTGTCAAAAAAGATTGCTAGTTTTCCCGATGAAGGTCAATTGTGTTTTTGCCGGTACGCCATTTTCCTCCATCTATATAAAGTAGTGCCATAATAAAGCGGATAGTTGTTACATTGGTGGAAATCACAAACAAAGTAATACATCAGTTCATACAAAGTATCTATTGAATAGTGTTGTGTTATACATATTGGGATCATAAACATTATAAAGGTACTTTACCAAAACCAGATAGTATAACATACAAGGAAAAAAAGGACCTAATAAGATAAGAATGACGATGAACATGAGTGTCGTGTTCTTTATTGAAATTGAGATCACTAAGTTAGTTATATGTAAAGATATGCAACAGTGAGCGGACGGAAAAAAAAAGAACAAAAAACAATTGAAAGTGTTTATGTTTAAAATTAAGATTATTTTTTGCAAGTAAATAAAAACAACACGTTAAACATTCCCTTCGTCCGAAACGCTTTTCTTGATTTGCCTTCCTCAAGAGCGCTCTATGCCGAATACTTGCAAGCCAATGATGTATGAGAACCGGAACAGTTAAAGAATTATATAACAAAAAAAGTTCCTAGAACTAGGCATATTATTCAATTTTGTCCGAGGGTGTTGAAACCTAAGTTTCTTCATATTAAAAAATGTATAGACGGACAATTTTAGAAAGGTTGTTATAAGCCATGTCTTTATCGAAATACGGACTACTGAGCTGATGAGACCTTTTGGAACTCATAGTCCACCAGCAGAGAGATCGACCCAGTGTTTTTAAAAATGAAAACAGCACGTAATACATTCAATGCATCCGTAGTGCTTTTCTGGGTTAACCTTCATCAGGAACGACCAAAACCGAATATTTGAAAGCAAATGATGTATAAGAACCGAAACACGTAAAGTGTTCAATGACCAAAAAAGGACCTAAACAAATAGCCAAATCCATCTGAGGTCAACTTTGCTTGAGGTAATTAAAACCCTAGTTTTGCAACTGTTTCTTTTTTTTCAAAATTCTTGTTGTAATGTATTGTATATATCACAGTGCCTAGCGAATAGAGAAATACGCTAGTAAAATTTAAACTAACATAATCATGATAATTGTCTTAATTTTACAAAATGTTTCCCACATTGGTTTGGTTTTAATATTAGTTTATTAGTGTAAATCTAGATGTAGAATAACAAACATTAAACCATTTTTTTATAATTATACTATACAAGTTACACTATATATATTTTTTGTTTGTGTATGAAGTGTTTCCTTATCTCCTCTAATAATAATTTTGATTATCAATTAGTATATTTAATTACTTGTGTACCATGTTTATTATGGACACTAACATGGCTTATAACAAAGAAGTTTCTTTCCGTTTTCCAGCACAACATTTAGCTTTGGGTAAGTAAATGTAGAATGCTGTTTGTCTTTTTGTCGTTCTCTTTTTTGTTTCTACCCATGACGTACAACACCATCAAGTTGTAGACGTAAAAATAAAACCATATAAGACTTTAAACAAAAACAAGCATGGAAGTCGGTTTGCAATTATATTTTTAAAACAAATTAATTAATTTGAAGCATTTCATTACAGATTTTCTTCGTGTTCTTTTTACCTACAATGCGAAAATACACCAATTAAAATATTAGTAAAAATGTCGGGTATTGATTCAAAGTGATTCAAACTAAGGAATACATGAATGCTTCACGTTTATGAGAGACAAAACAAGAGTTTTTTTTTCACTTTTTGTTTTTGCAGCATTTTAGTTGATCTGTTGTAAGTTAAAAACCTTAATTGACTTTAACTGATAGTGTTCTGCTGATAACGATTTACAAGTGTAAAGTTTTTTGTAAATAGTCTAATGTATATGTAACATAAACATTTAAAAGCAATGTAACTACTAATAACGCAATATAAGTAGGCTCTATCTCCTAAATCTGATTGTGTATCATATGTCAATATTTAGACTTATAATATATATGTAAATTTAATAATAATAAAGTTTCTCTAATTGAATGTGTAGCAGACGATGTACGTACTGTCAATACTACTAAGTTTAAAGATACCCTTAATACAATGCTACTTTTACATGACGTTTCATAACATAAATATATTTTGTAATAGAAAGTTCACTTTCATTGACAAGGAACACAAGGGTTGCTCGGCATTTGTACAACAATTGTATTCCTCGAACTTCTTAGTGTTCAAGATTATACAAGCCAAGCAAAATGTGTTGCTCAAAGTATATCTGATTGACGATGTACGTACACCGGTACCACACAGATGAAAAAAATGAATGTCATAGAACATATATCAAAAAGAAATACAATCTTACATTTCAAATACTTAATATCTTCCTTTACCAATTGGTCCATATCCACTGACAATATTTTTCCTTTTTCCGATGACACCGACAGAATTTGAAACAACACCACCAATTGGACCTCTGATACCACCGATAGGACCAAGAAGTCCACTACCACCTCCTACAATACCACCCACACCACCAACAATACCTCCACCACCAATAATACCAGCGCCTCCAAGTGAAGCTACGTAATTTCGGTTGGTTACCCACCATGGCAATACGGAACAACAAGTGTCTAAACTACTAAGAAGGAGAGGTGCCAAGTTACAGTTCTTGTTGAGTTTTACCTGTCCTGGAGCACATTTTAAACTACATGTGCACCATAGTTGACCTCCACCAACAAGTCCTGTAAGTAAATCAATGTAAAGATTTGTTGTTGTCATGTATATTACATCGTATAATTGGTAAATGAAATACACGCTTGATAAACTGTGATTGTCTGAAACAATTTTCTTTAAAGAGACTTTAAGATCTGTCCTAAGTCAGGAATCTGATGTTCAGTAGTTGTCGTTTGTTGATGTGGTTCATAAGTATTTCTCGTTTCTCGTCTTTTATATAGATAAGACCGTTGGTTTTCCCGTTTGAATGGTTTTACACTAGTACTTTTTGGGGTCCTTTATAGCTTGCTGTTCGGTGTTAGCCAAGGCTCCGTGTTGAATACCGTACTGTGACCTATAATGGTTTACTTTTATAAATGTTGATTTGGATGAAGAGTTGTCTCATTGGCACTAATACCACATCTTCTTGTATCTATTTAATATGATATTCAAATTTATCTATGGTCAATTTTGCTTGATGGAATCTCAAGCACAGATTATAAATATTTTTTGATGTTATGAACGGGGAATATAACTTTGAGCTCATTATATCGTCGGGGATTTAAAGTCCTGACCCTAACTAGTAAATTAAATAAGCACTTGACGAATGTCGACAGTCTATGGCGCTTTTTTTGGATTACCTTCAGCTGGAAAGTTCATCTTCGTATCAGGCTTATATTTATTATAGATTAGGTACAGTATAGTAAAAGAAGAGACATATCATGTACGAACACAGATACATGAAAATATGACAGATAAGTACTGTAAATAAATCAATTAAAAGATATGTTATTTTTTATGTTTATTGCAACGTATACTTGATTAATGAAATAAAACTCGATGAAATTATGTTATAGATAATGCATATTTTAAGGTTTTTCTTGTCGTAGAACACACCGAGGGATGTCAGGATTGATCAAATGAAAGACCGACCGTAGGGAGGTCTTTCTTTGGGCAATCCTGACACCCCGAGGTGTGTTCTACGACAAGAAAAACCTTAAAATATGCATTATCTGACTTATATACCGTCAAAAAATATTGTTTTTTATAAAGATTTGCAAAATTTAGCATCCTAATTTACCAAACACACTAAAGTGGGATATTCCTTTCTAATGCGTTCAGGTTTTAATACGCCCTACGGCTCATTTAGAATGTGAAATAAAACTCACTAATTAATCTAGATATAAACCTTAGAAATTATTATCCATACACAATAAAAATATTACTGTAACTGTATGAAGTAAGACACAAATGAATTGTTACAATCTGATAACGGTGTATGAAAAATACAAGACACTTTGTAAGTAATTTATTGTACCAACTTAGTTTATGGAAAGGGGGAGGTGCTATGTTTTTTTTTTGTCTATTTGTAATGACATTTTATCGCGGAAAAGTGATTTTTTTTTTAACAATTTTAATTAAATCGAATGAAATATTCAGAATGATTTTCTTTTGAATAGCAATACATTTTTTTAACAGATAATCAGGATATAAATATATACCCTCCCCCCACCCGACCTCATCGTGAGGTACGTGAATGTTATTCAATAGAATATAAGAATATTTTATTAGTTAATCATTTGATAGAGTAAAAGGTATACATAAATGTAAAAAAGTTAAGAAAAAAGTAAAATCACAAAAATACTGAACTCCGAGGAAAATTCAATCGGAAAGTCCCTAATCACATGGCAAAATCAAATGACAAAACACATCAAACGAATGGACAACAACTGTCATATTCCTGACTTGGTACAGGCATTTTCAAATGTAGAAAATGGTGGATTGAACCTGGTTTTATAGCGCTAAACCTCTCACTTGTACGACAGTCTTATCAAAATTAAGAACTTACACGAAGGGGGCACGAAATCGTGATACATGTACATGTTACACGAAAACGAATATCAATACATGTAGGTCACAGTATGATTTCCTATTCAGTGTGTAGCGTCCTGAACGTGCATGAAATATTTGCCACTGGACGTTACGTAACCATCAATCAATCAACCTATTCAGTGTGAATCAATAATATTTTCAAATTTTTACACACGAATATGTTAAATCTGGCTTTATTTTAAAGTGTTATGAAAGTTTTACATTAAAATTCATCTCGCATATATGATAATGTCTCTGTATTGTAGCGATAAATTAACAAAATTTCACATTATTTGTTTCTAAAATTAAAATTCGGGCAATGACGATTTTTTTACACCTATCATAGATTGAACTTTAAAAAATAAATTCCCAAATCGGCAACAGAAACTATCAGACGAATATAACTTTGAAGTAAATTATAGTTTGCATTTTTATCAAGGAAAATAATGACCTCACACAGGTCATTATTTTATGCCTTGGAGCATATTTCATTGAAACATGGTATCGTCCGGGTTGATTCTTCGAAAGAATGACCTATCGTTCTGAATGAAAATAACTCCATATAGGTATATAGGTTCGTCTAAAATACGATTTTCGGGATTTATATTGTCTTGATTAATCTAAATTTTAAATCAAAAGATGTGTATATAAAATACAATGTTCCGAATTATATGACCAAGAGGGATTCAAATATATAGCAAAAGTAGTAGGTTCGATCAGGTCTTGAATAATCTCTTATTTTTAGTTATACTTTATTGACCAGTATAACAACCCATATAGCTATACAATAAATAGATAGGAAGAATTTCTCTTCGTTGAAAATTCACGTACTTGCATTTTTCATGACGTTAAAAACAGTACTCAGTTTGGTTTTCAACGAAAATTGAATGAACATGGGAAAATTTACATTTATTTCTTGGACGGGAAACATAGAGTGCATGCATCGACAACAAAAGATCTTTTCAAATGATGTTTGTTATAACATTTTGAATGAAGTTTACTATGTTTGCTTTGCCTAATTGTGATTGAAATTTGGACAATTTGTCAAATTGCACAAGAATATTGATTTGTTGGTTTTTGTTTTTGTTTTGTAAAAATCAACGCTATAGAATAAAACTTTCTTAAATACCTTTTCGTTAACTTAAAACAATTTTTCTCTTGAAGCATTTAACCTAATAATGGGGCCAACTTTGACCATTAAGATTCTTACAAAATCCTTTTTTTTTTGAAAGGGGAACATTTTGTTTTGTAAAAATCAACGCTATAGAATAAAACTTTCTTAAATACCTTTTCGTTAACTTAAGACATTTTTTTCTCTTGAAGCATTTAACTTGATAATGGGGCCAACTTTGACCATTAAGATTCTTACAAAATCCTTATTTTATGAAAGGGGAACATGCCAATGACCTGATGATGCCAACAGGGACTAACAGATCATCAGGTTTTATGCCTTGCTGGTAATTGAAATAAGCACTTGGTGAATTGCGTGCGACCAGAGAGTTTCTTTTTATGTAATGTTGAGTCCATCGGGACGGGGAGGGGGTGGTTGTTACAATTTCATTAAGATAAAGTGTTTAAAAAAATATATATATTAATGTAAGAACACAGATAAATAAAAAAAATATTGTTTAATGGTCACTTCAGGTAGCATTGGATGGATGGCTTCTTACTTTGTCGTATTTGATAATATAAATGTTCAATTTAAAAATACCTGAATTTAATCCTCCGATCAGTCCACCCAATCCACCTAATCCACCATTGTTAATCAGAAGTCCACTACCACTGACAATTCCTCCAGCCCCACCAATAACTCCACCGCCTCCAATGAGTGATCCACCTGTGACAACTCCACTACTACCAAGTCCTCCTAACAATGGACCTACTTTGCCATACGCCGAAACGGATCCGACAAGTGAAACTAAAAGTATAGTCAACATTATCGTGATTTTACTTGATCAGTAGAATATGTGAAGTAATGATAGGAATTATATGTCCCTTTATACTACTTTTATCGTAAGGCACGTGCTACACTGCTTACAAAAACTAGTGGTTTGATATATTATGAAAAAAGAGAATTTTTAAATTGTGGTCAAAAATGTGTTCAGTTCAAACATATGTTAATTAAGCAGTTTTTGTTCTGTGGACAAAGTCCGGTACCGAGCATGTAACAATCACGAACGTTAGAGATGACACTATTATATCAATGAGTAACAACATAGTTTGCTGATGTAAGTCATTTGTAAAGGAGATAAACCTGACAATTGTCACGACTGCATCAGATTTTTTTGTTATTGAAAGACGCATTTTCTTTAATTTCATATGTATATTAGCTTGAAAGAAGAGATTGATGCGAAAAAATACAATATCGTTTAAATATGTGCATTGAATCTTAATTAGAAGAATGAATAAATTGAAGTGCAGAAAGTATATCGTCTTGACTAAAAAGGAAATAAAAAAAAGAAACTTAGAATATTTTGGGTAAAAACTGGTTAATGATAAATTGCTGTAATAATTGATGAAGATTATTTATTAGGTATATGTTCAGATCCATCTAAGTTTAGTCTATCACCAAGTCCACCTTTCTATAGAAATGCCCTTAACTCTTACTTAAAACTTCGAAAAGTGTAAACTCCTGACACGAAAGAAAAAATGCTGAAAACTATTCTTATTTCATGCATTTGTAACTCTGATATTAAATTTAAAAGAGGAACTCTATATTTTAAATCGTTTATCAAGGGTAAAATATTAACTATTGGTAACCTATGGAACATTGACACGAATACTTTCCAAAATTGTATTTCTATATCTAACCGAAGTGGGATATGAAAAGTGTACCTAGTCAACAGATCAATGTTTTAACAAAATTAGACAACTTAGATCTGTACACAATTTCAGGTATTAAAAAAAACTCCACAAATTTAAAACCGAAAGATGTTCAAATAAAGGCAACAGT